GCCGCAGCCGCCGCAGCCGCCGGCCGCGCTAGCTCTTGCTTTCGTCCGTCGCGTTCGCGCGACGAGCGTATTGATTGGAGTCAGCCGTTCCATTCCGTGTGGTCCGCGACCACCTCGTGCTCCCCGCCGCATCACTAAATTCGCCGCGAGCTTTTCCGCGCCGCGCCGCGCCGCGCCGCGGCGACGCGCTATGGAACCGATGGAGCCGCCCCTTTCTGCAAACGCTTCTACATGAAAAAAAAAGTTATTAATATTTTACAAGAAGAAAGAACATATCGATACATTTTTAAACACATTGCTTATAAATTGAATTTTATATTACTAATGATATTTTCTGATATAAAATTTCATTTTATTACGCGAATGATTGATATCGTTTAAATAATAATTTTTTATTGATATTCAATGTATTTTATCAATCTGGTTTTATTTATTGTACGCAATGGCTTTGCGTAATTAAATAAATTTAGATCAGGAACTATCGTCAGACACTAATAGAGTTTATTTTATAAGCGATATGTATTTAAAAGCATATTGATACATAAGTACTTTTCTTACAAATGTTAATAATTTATTTTTTTATATCGGTACCGACATAAATGATTTTGTCTAGATGTAACAATTTTACGCGCGCTGTACTCGTTTTCTAGAGGGTGAATTTCACGCCACTTTGGATGCATTGAGTGAACGACGCTCTCATTGTTCGCAGCGTATGCTCATCAATTTTTTTTCTTTTCTTCGCGCCACCGATGCGCGAACATCTGCGACTAAAGTGCAAAAAATTTAAGTAATGATTAATAAATTATGTAAATCTTTAAGGAGATAGTGTGTGTATATATATGCTGTCATCTGTTTTACCGACAAAAATATCAGATTATTAAATGAATGAAGTATGGTATATCACAAAATTAAAGATCCTTTTTCCATAATTAAAATACATATGTATCTGGCAATGGTCTATTTTTATATTAAAAACAGGAAAAAATTAATAAATTATAAATTTTTATCAACTTTTACTTTAATATGGCGATCAAAGCTATAATGATCAAATTACCGAAACATTTACTTTGTAAAATATAGTTATATAGACCATATATATGTGCGCGAAATTAAACAGAACTAAATGTAGAATAAATAAATGATTAATGGTAAATCGTAAAATTTAAAACTGAAAACTTAATTAAAAATATTATTTCTTCTTCAAATCTTCGACAAATCATGTATAAATGTGTGATATTAATACGATTATAGTATATCGTGATGTGTCTATATCTCGTAAATCATGTATATAAGTCGCATTGATCAAACAGCAATTTCGTCGATGTTTAAGCGTCCCTTCAAAAAATTTATTTTTTATAAGTTAAAATAAATATAAATATAATAAATATATAATTTCGAAAAAATTTAATTTACTTTTTTCTTATTTTATGACTATATGTATAAACATTATATTATATTATATACAATATATTATTACATATATTTTATGTATATTTGTGTGCGTGTGCGAATGCGTGCGGATATTTGACCATAATTTATGACAAATTTTATTTTTTGTGAAAAAAATATAAAGTAATCAATTATTGGAATAAAATAAAAATGTATACATATAATCAGAGACGGATGATAGCCAATAAAGAAATATTGGACAACAAAAAGTTGCGCTCTTACCACTTGGTATCGCAATCGCTTTCGTTACTTTCTCTACTCTTGTCATTTTCCTGATTGACCTTCGGTTGGAAGTAGCGTTCTCCTCGCGTTCTCTTCGCTTTCTTTACTCTTACTGCTTTCTCTACTTCCTGCTGCTTCCATTACTTCTTATCTTCTTTGCTTTCAGATTCGCTATTTTCATATTATTCTCTTTACTTTCAAATTTGCTATTTTCTTTACTTTGCTATTTTCTTTGCTTTTGAATTCTGCTTTCTTTACTCTTATTATCTCCGTTTTGTTTCCAGATTGATCTTCAGTTGGAACTAAAGGAATTGTCACAGTCCCCTCGAATTCTCTTGTGACTGGACTTCGATTACGATTTCAAAATGTGGAAATGTAAAAAAATTCAATTTTCTTAATTACATAAACACTAATTACATACGGGGTTAAGTAGTAACTAGTTAAAGCATTAAAAGTTAAAAAAAAAGTTAAAAAGTTAATAAGTTTTAACTCAACTTAATTTTAAATGCATTAATTTTTAACTTAATTTAATTATTTTTAAACTTTATCATCTTTTTTTAAATTAAAAATTTTTTTATCTCTCTTAATGCTAATATTTTTTTTCTATAAAGTCTTAAACATTAATTTTTCTATAAAGTCATAAGAATTAATTTAGAAAAAGTTAATAATTTTATGATGAGAGATCTATAATAAGAGTCAGTATCCCTCCAAGAAAGAAATCCCATCAACTGAAGTCTTAATCTATTAAGCTAATATCCCAGAAGATCTATCCTCAAAGATACCTCTATATAAACCGCGGTCTGGATAATTATTAAAAAAACAGTCGTTCAGAAATTCAACCAGTCAGTTATTCGAATAGATGTACAGAGAGTCTAATTATTAGTGCATTTAACATTTGACTCCGTATCTAACATCCACCATTTTCTTTGGACGATCGCTTCAAAGACAATCTGCATTGGAACTTTCCACGCAAGGTTTCAACAATCATTCTTTCGGAACCGTGGCGAGAAAAAATCCTATATTTTTCTGAGCGAAACTTCAAATAGTAAATAACCTATTTTTTCTTTTTTTCTTTTATTTTTTTTTTCTTTCTTTTATACCATGTTATTCATCAATTTTTTGTTATTTTGTTTTAATCAATCCTCCTTCCAGCCTCTGCATTGTTCCCTGTTAACTCTTACTTCCATCCACCTTTCCTTCAAGCGATCACCTATTGTACTCATTCTCTAATATTCATCGAATTATTTGATGGATTCTATATTCATTATTTAAAAGTTCGATTACTCCGCGAACTTCACTCGTCATTCTTCCGTTTATCGGCCGAATCCTCAGATTTTCTTTTTATTTCCTTCCTTATACAGAGCCTGGTAAACAATATATATATATATAT